CCATTCCACCCCTCCATACTTAACTCAGGCTTTCCTTGCTAGTGTCTTGAACAAGCTCTGTCCCTTAGAATTCTGGAATCTGACCTCTCATCTCATGCATCCTGAGTATGGGTGAGATGTCACCACATCCCAGGACTAACTAACCAGGTCTACCTCCCAGCTGGTCTTTGTCTGGGTAGAGATCTGGTACTTGGATACTTAGATACCCACAGTACAAGGAGTGTAGTTAGTGGGTCTTGCCCGACTCTGCCCCTCGTCCAAATGCTTGGACTTCCTCTTGGCTTGGTTTGTACTAGAGGCCTGGCATCCCCTCCTGGGCTCTGTGCCTACTTCACACCCGCTCTCTAGCCCCCTCATGCCGAAGGCTTGGTCATCACACACCGCTCCAACAGAAACCCTAAAGGCCAACTGAGTGTTCAATTTGCCTCTTTCTAGAGCTTCTTTTATGACCCTCATAAAAGGAGCTCATTAGATTAGGCAGCTTTTTATTTCTTGGGTCTGACCCTGGCACAAATAATTCAGATTCAAAGTTCTTTTCTGTTGACTTAGTTAGTTTTCTTCTATGGCATTTATTTTCTATTTAGTTAAACTTTTACAAAAATAAACATTTATAAAAATATAAAAGTAATACGTTTTCAAAAAACATTAGAAAACACAAAAAAAGTAGGAAAAATTACTCACAGTCTCACTACCCAACTACAACCACTACTGGCATTTTGTTTTATTTCCTTCTGGTCTTTTACCATTCATTTCTTCCCCCCATGCTGGCTCCCACCCCCACTCCCACCAAAATATGACTGCTGACACACTGTCTCTACAATTTCCTTTTTCGTATTTCAGATGTTTGCTTCTTTGCTCTTAAGAACCTTTTATCAGATATTTAAGAGCGGTAAAAACCAAATATGATGTGCGTGACTTGTTCTGACACATTTACATATTGTCTATGGCTGCTTTTGTGCACAATGGCAGAGTTGATGAGTTGCAACAGAAACTGTTATGGCCTGTAAAGCTGGAAATATCTCTATCTGGCCTTTTACAGGAAAAGTAACCAACCTGTCCTATTGACTTACTCCACTTGTCTCCACTGTTGGTTCATTTGTTTTCTGGATTCCATGTCTTCCTCTTTCTTGATTTATTCCCTCATTTTGGTGAAGCACACCCTCTGGTAGCTTCCTGGGAAAGGGTGTATGAGAGGTAAATTTTTTGAGATCTTTCATATCTGAAGATGTCTTTTTCTATCACATTTGACTGACAGCTTAGCTGGGTATAGAATTTTAGCATGGAATCATAGTCATTTAGAAATTAGAAAGCTGTGCTTCGTTGTCATCTAGCTTTTAGGTTTGTGGTAGAGGGTCTGAATTTATTCTGAATTTTTATCTATTGCCTTTTTAGAAGCTTATGGAATCTCCTTTTTGTCCCCAGCGTTATGAAATTTTATGTTGATGTGTCTCCACCACTGTGCTGGGCAGGGGATTCTTTCTGGAAAAGTCATATCCTCTTTCTGGAAAGTCATATCCTCCAATAATGGGATGTTTTCTTGAATTATTTTGTTGATCATGTCTTCCCCTCTATTTTCTTTGTTCTCTACTTCTGGAATACCCATTGAATAGATGTTGGATATCCTGGTCTGGGCCTCTAATTTTCTTATCTTTTTTATCTCCTTTGGTGACAATTCTTCAACTTTATCTTCTAATCAGAATCTTGAGTTTTCTTCATTCCTTCTATCAAGTTTTTAATTTCCAAGAGCTCTTTTTTGTTTTCTCAATGTTTCTTTTTAAAGCATCTATACCTTGTGACATACTCTTTCCCCTCCTCTCCCCACCCCGTCATAGATTGAATTGTGTCCCCCCAAAATATGTGTTAACTTGGCTAGTCCATGATTCCCAGTATTGTCATTGTCCACCATTTTGTCATTTGATGTGATTTTCCTATGTGTTGTAAATCCTACCTCTATGATGTCAATGATAGCGGGATTAGCATGGGATTAGTGGCAGTTACGTTAATGAGGCAGGACTCAATCTACAAGATTAGGTTGTATCTTAAGTCAATATCTTTTGAGATATAAAAGAGAGAAGTGAGCAGAGAGACAGGGGGACCTCAAACTACCAAGAAAGCAGTACCTAGAGCACAGCGTGTCCTTTGGACCCAGGGTTCCTGAAAGGAGAAGCTCCTAGACCAGGGGAAGATTGATGACAAGGACCTTCCTCCAGAGCCGACAGACAGAGAAAGCCTCCTCCTGGAGTTGATGTCCTGAATTTGAGCTTCTAGCCTACTAGACTATGATAGAATAAACTTCTGTTTGTTGAAGCCATCCACTTGTGGTATTTCTGTTATAGGAGAACTAGATAACTAAGACACTCCCCTTTAAAAATTTCTCTGAGGATATAAATGATAGTTTTCTTTCCCCTGTATAGTCTGTCTGATCCTAGTTGCTTTTTAACTGTTTGCTTTGGTCTTTCTATTTCATATTAGAGGATTTCTTCTTGGTTGTCTCCTCATACATAAAAGTAAAATACTAGAAAATTGATATTTAGTGAAACACTAACAAATTCTGATTGTGTAGGTGGAGCTTACTGTCTGTAAGTTTTACTGTAGGGAGATACAGCTGGGCTGCTGATTGGGAAAGCCTTGAGGTTATTTAAGTCTTTATTCTTCACTACTCAGACTCTTCAGAGAAGACTTCCCATCTCCTATTTCAACGGTATAGGCCTGGCTACCAGAATTCTGGAGTTGATTGGGAAAAGCAAGCTGGGAATCTTAACATTCAGCACGCAAATATTCACTCAGTCTTACTCTACCATCTACTGTGTTTGGTGTCCAGAGAAGAACTTTCTGGTTTTCTGCTGGGTTCCGAGAGGGGCAATCTTTTTAAATAAGCTTTCAACCAATACTGTCGTTAGCTTCATCTTCACCTGCCCCTCCCCCACCTTTCACAGTTGCCTGGTGCCATCAATTTCTGGATTTCTTTTAGGGTTCTGCTGTGTAAATTGGGTTGTTTCTTGGCTTTCTCTATCGTTGGCTCAGGATCCATCTTTCTCAGGGATGCTAAGTCAGTTACCACTCACCCATCTGCTTCCCAGCTTCCCAAATTTTGTTCCTGTTGTCTCCTCTCCCATTCTCTTTGTCCTTGTGGGTTTATGCCTTTAAAAAAATCTCTTTACTGTTGTTTTAGTGAGGTTTGGGGAGGGAATGAAAGTAAATGTGGGTATTCAATCCTCCACCTTTATTTGGAACCTCTTTATAATTAAATATCTTTTTAAACTTTCATTTAATATTACAGCGTAAACATTATCCATGTTCTTACGTGGTCTTTGTAAACAGTTTTAGTAACTGCATAACATTCCATTGAGTAGGTACCACAGTTTAACTTAATCACTACCCTACTTTTGATGTTTAGAGTTGTTTCTGTTTTGTGGTAGGGGGTTAGATTTCCTTGGAATCATTTTTCATGCATCATATTTATTCCCTATATCTGGGAAGCTGACAAATGTTCACTGACATTCTTTTCTCTGTTCTTAGTCTGTGGTTTCATCACCGTGTGCCTTGATTAAGGCATTTCCTGGATAATTCATCTTCAAACTGCGAGGCCATCCTGCACAATGATGCAGCATTTATCTTACTAAACTGTCACCTTTCTCATGACAATTCAGAGGAACTCTAACCTCTATATTTGTGACAGGCATTTGAGATTCTCTGTAGTTCGATTCTACCCCACCTACCTGTGCTCTCCACCCTTTTCCCAAATGGTTCTCCTTCAAACAGCCTTTGCCAATCCATATTCACCTTCACTTAAGCCCTATCTCCTCCACTAAGCCTCCCTCATGTTACTCTTGGTTACACAATTTCTTTATTCACCTGATAACATATAAGAAACAACTGGTTTCTATCATTCTATCATCTTAGGTGAAGGGAAGGACAGCACACACTACAGGGGAAGCCAGCACAACTAGACTAAACCAAAGCTAAGAAGTTTCCTCAATACAATCAAATACTTTGAGAGACAGAGTAGCAGGGATGTGCGGTCTGGGGACCATGCTTTCAGGGGACATCTATGTCAACTGGCATAACAAACCTTATTAAGAAGATGTTCTGCATCCTACTTTGGTGAGTGGCGTCTGGGGTCTTAAAAGCTTGCAAGTGGCCATCTAAGATGCACTTATTGGTCCCAACCACTTGGAGTAAAGGAGAATGAAGAACACCAAAGACACAAGGAAAATGTTGGCCCAAGAGACAGAATGGGCCACATGAACCAGAGACTTCATCAGCCTGAGACCAGAAGAACTAGATGGTGCCCGGCTACCACCAATGAACATCCTGACAGGGAACACAACAGAGGGTCCCTGATGGAGCAGTAGAACGATGGGATGCAGAACTCAAATTCTAGTAAGAAGACCAGACTTAATGGTCTGACTAAGACTGGAGGTGCCCCGGAAAGCATGGCCCCTGGTATCTCCATCACCCCAGAACTAAAAAAATTCCTGAGGCCAACTCTTCAGACAGGGATTGGACTGGACTGTGGGACGTAAAGTGATACTTGTGAAGAATGTGCCTCTTACACAAGTAGATATAAGAGACCAAAGGCGCGGCTTCTGTCCAGAGGTGAGAGGGGAAGGCAGAGAGAGTTAGGAGCTGGTTGAATGTTCATGGGGAATCAGGGGCTGAGGGGAGGAGTGTGCTGTCGCAGAATGGGGTGAGCGGTTGGGGTCTCATAACAATGTATGTTAAAAAAAAAAAAATTCCATGGGAGACTAACTTGAAATGTAAACTTCATTTAATTACAACAAGTAAAGAAAAAAACAACTGGTTTCTGATTGCTTAGGGTAAGTCTTGCCTTCTAAGTGAGACTCACAGTTCTTAGAGGCAGACGCTCTTACATGTTCGTCTCTATGTTGGCTTCCCCACATCTCCCTTATCCTACCACCATGGGATTCCAGTGCAGTGCCAGGCACACAGTCAGGCTTAATAGGTACTCATGGAATGGAATGGTTGTAAGTTGTTACCTTGCCCTCTGGAGTCAGCGTCCAGATCACAGAGAAGGTCAGCTTGTCAGTCATGGGATTGAGGCTGCACAGCTCCTCACACAACAGCCTGGGGAGCATGGGTACCACCTGCAAACAGAGCACAGTCCCATGAGCACCTTTCTTCAACCTGCAGGAGCTGGCCAGAGACTCAGAAGCAGCCCGGAGAGCAGAATTTTAGTGACCAGCTTAAGCTTCCAGAGTGAGCCAAAGATGGAGGCTGCTCTTTTCCGTGAAGACTGCACAAAGACTACACTATCTTGTATTTTCCCATGATCCTCTATAGTTAAATGGGAAGGTGAGTTGGAAAGGTGAGAGAAGCTGATAACAGAACGTAACAAATACATTATAGCAATGAAAAATAACCACATTTCACTATGTATTAAAACTGAAGTTCTAGACTCAAGAACAATTTGCACTTTTGGATATAACCATTCCAGTTGAATTTTATACTTAAGAATGCAAGGGTTGAATGTAAACTTATGACAGGATTTTAGAAAAGTAAAATTAGGGTGTTGCCAAATCAATGCTTTCGTAATTGAACATACTACAATTTACCAAATTACATGTTAGAACATTAACAGAATACTCTAATAAAATATCACTATAGCAAAGAAACCACAAAGCTTACAAATCTGGAGTTCCTAGAATACCGTGGTCAACTAGTCATCCATTTTGCAGTTTCTTTAACCCTAAATTATCTCTTCCTTTTACCAATCTGTACAGCCTATAATAATTTACTCAATGGCACACTATTCTTTAATTAAAAAAAAAATTCTCTTCAATTTATTTTCACATGATGACTTTCAGCTGTCCCAGAATACTACTTGTTTTCTCTAAAATCTGAAAGACGAAATGAGTCTCTCTCCTTGGATCTCTTGAAGATACTTCAAATTTTCTTCCTCCTACCTTTAAATCTGTTCCTTCTCCCATTTTTTATTTGACTAATGACATAACCACCCACCCCACCTTCCAAACTGAAAACACTAGCATTAACATCCATTTACTTGACACTTTTACTGTGGACCTACTCTATTTGCAGTGTTAGGCATGGATAACATGATGACCTTGTGTTAACTGAGAAGCAACAGATGAGAGGGGTACCTGTGTTGTATTTGAGGTAAATTTAGTAATTAAGTTTCATTAGCAAAAACACAACCAACCGCAGTGGTTTCTTATTCTGTGTGAAGTGTCTGTACTTGCACCCTGCTTTAGTATAGCAAATGATCTTTGGTACGGAAAAGTAAATTCTAGAACTCATGGCCCACACGAGTAACAAACAATTTGTAATTGTTTGGCATTGCTCTGAAGGATGCTGTTATTTTCTTACACTTGTGTAAAATCTCATGACTACCTGAAAACTTTTGGTAAAAGCTTTTACAAGACAACTACTTTTGAAATTTTTTTCCCTGCCATTGCAGATGACAGTTTTTGCTCATTTAGTGGTTTATTACAACGTGATCTAAATACTTAACATTTTCTTGTATATGCCAAGTGTTTTATAAAATAATACATCTTCCTATCTACCTGAATATACATATTGTACAAAATGGGAGAAAGTTTCAATACCTTACTGTCTCATGATTGAATTATATAGAGTTCACATAATTTCAGCCTTTGGACTAAGTCAAGTTTGTTGGTTGTGCATTCCTGGATTCTTCTCTGGGCCACGTCATCAGATAATTATACCCACTGTACTTTGGTGGCAGGCTATTCATTCATCCAGCATGCCTGTTGCAATGGTATCAGTCCAGGGCTTAAAACTTTTACAGAGAGTTAGTACTTCTAAGTGTTCAAGGCAGTATCTTACTCTGAATCACAAAGCTGAGCATCTGATAAAAGTAACAGAATTCCTGACTTTTATGTTTGAGTGTTTGTCAAAAGAAAATGACTGCAACTAAACGCAACGTTGTAGCCTAGGTTGGATCCTGGAACTGAAAAAGGACATTAGTGGAAAAACTAGTGCAATCCAAATAAAATCTGGAGATTAGTTAATATAATGTACCAATGTACGTTTCTTAGTTTTGACAAATGGACCATGGTAATGTAGGATGTTAACAAAGGGGGTAACTGGGTGTGGTATATACGGACTTTTCTATACTATCCTTGCAACTTTGCTATAAATCTAAAATTATTCCAAAACAAAGAGTTATTTCTAAAAAAAGGTCATGTTTCTATTAATTGATTTCATAAATTTTCCATGTTTAAATGAGATTAAATTTATGCTAATGAAATAAAAACCTAATCTGTTTTTTACATTTTGAGATTTTGGTTAAGAGTTTATTTGCAAAAAGGCCTTCAACACTTTAAAAAAAAAAAAAAAAAAGTCTAAAGACCATTAACCAATTGAATGGAGTCCAGACTCACTGGCAGCACGTTTCAGGAAAAAAGCATAGGCTTTGAAGTCAGAGAGACCTGGGGTCCAATATTGGATCTATCACTTCCTGTACAATTTGGCCAAGTTAGTCTGACTCTCTGTGTCTTGGTTTTGTTATTGGTAAAACCTCACTGAGGATGCTCAGGAGAAGTCAGCTCACAGGCCACAACATACGAGGTCCTTTAGTTACCTGGCTCAACTTTCCCCTTTGGCCTGATGCCCAGGTCTCCCCTCTATACCGCCCTCCTGCTGCATGCCTCCCCCGGCCACCTGCTCACGGCTCTAGCTTTTGCACACGTTGTTCCCTTTATCTGGAACACCTTTCTGGACTTTTTGCAGCTAGCAAACTTTTACTCGTCCTTTAAGATTCAGCTCATCGCCATCTCTACAGGGCTAATCCAGATCCCACCAGGCAGAGTACGTGCTGTCTTTTGTAGACCTCCCCATGCTTTCAAAAAAGATGTGAGGCAGTTCTACACAGTCAGTCACTTACCCTGTCCTCCATGCTCCTTCCTAATGCACCATGCTAGATCCCAGTTGCTTCTTTACAAGTCTCTCCCTTCCACTAGGCCATACAATCCTCAGAAACAAGTACTGGGTCTTGTTGCTGTCTCGCTATCCGACACCTGACACATAGCGGGTACTTCTAGTTTGCAAATGAATGACTTTCACCCAGGGAATGAACCACCTGTTTTTGCCTGTGTTTACAAGTTTACTGTGTCACATAAAACATTTTATGACAAAGCATGGTAGACTTCTACTTAAACCTCTTCATATAAAAATTTCACAGGCAACTCATATTTTTAAGCATAAGATAGACCATTTTGGCTACTCCCTCCTAAAATCATTGGCTGGCCCACTCAGTGGCTGTCCAGGTTATAAAGATTGCTTGGTATACTATATCCTATACAGAAGACTACATTTCAATATGCACACTGCAATTGTCAGATGCTAAAGAACCTAAGTGCTAATGAAGAAGCTAAACATTAAAACTTCAAGTAGCACAATTATGTTTAATTCTTAAAGGGCATTCCTTTTAATAAAATTTCACCAGATCTTGAGGGAGAATTCAGATGGAACTCAGATAAAACAGTTTTATGTCTATATATTTGTAAATAGATGGCTATTTCTCTTTCAAAGAAAGGTCCCTCTTAAACCCTGCCTGGTTTCTGCTGGGGTCAATGTGAATGTGCTCTCTGACAGCCCTGTAGCACAGCAGGGCCCCGTTGTGGGTGGGGCTGGAGAGGCCCGACAGCCACTCTGATAAGCTGCTTCCTCAAATACAAATGCTGTTATTTCAGTGGGAGACCCGGCTGGACAGGGGCTCAGTAGCTCACGCACACACATGTGCTACGTGAGCTCTCCCGTGGCACCTGGAGAGACTCGGAGCCAGGGTGCAGAACATAAAATCAAACTGGGAAAAGAGAAGAAAGGCCTCCTTGGAGCTGTGAAACTCCCAGCTGTCATTAGCACTGTGTGGACATGGATGTCTTCCCTGAGCCCTCATGTTTTCCTAGTCCTGTCCTGGCTTGCCCTCTATTCTGTCTGTTTCTATAATGATCTCAAATCCCATATGGTATAAGTCATTATTATGTTTTCAAAATACATATGAATAAGCACTCATAATATGAACTTAGAATTATGTCTACCTCTGTGAGGGTCTCTAACAATAACTATAATTCATCAAAAATCTGTAAAGTCATAAGAAAGTTATATAGAAAAATTCTGAACTTAGACATGGAAACATAGCAGCATGTGAAGTATGTAAAGAACGTAAACAACCTTTAAGTTCACACTGATCGTGACACATGACAACATAACATAAATGCAAACAATCTCCCTAAACTCTAACCTTGAAGAGAAGATGGGTCATTTGGCTACTCTCTAACCCTGCAGAAAAGACATAATAATGCTACTCTTTGACGTCACACTGGTCCTTGCCATGTGGAGCCAAGGTGAAAAATTCACATATAAACCCTAAATTTCTACTCACTCACTGAGAGAAGGTAGAGATGGAACTGAGATTCTGTTTGCCGCCATTGGCCTTGGACTCTATCTATGAGGGACCTCTGCTGAGTTTGAGCATGTGGTTAAGCCTTCCTCCTGAGACCTCCTGTTAAAGGTGAAAGCCTGAAGTCTAAAGATTTGGACTCTAACCATTGAATTAACATTGTAATTGTAACTGTTAATTCTGATTCTCAGTTCTAAATTAATGTTGTGAGGTCTTACTTGCATGCCTTGCCATGACTACCTTCATATAAACTAAATGAGTTTATGCATGACAAACCTGAGCATCTCTCTATTAATTTTCTAAGATTAAATCCTACACGACACCCTCATTGGCTTCAGTACCCAGCACGGACCACATGGATAATTCTTTCAAAGTTTGCAAACTCCCTCACTTTCCTTGTCCAATTCCATAAATCCCATGATCAGCCTTACAATCTGCCTTTTCTGCTTTTGTAATTCATAGTTTAGCAGTGATGGAGATAATTGCTGGGCTATGTGGACGTGGATCACTGAACCAGTCTTGGCTGTTACCTCAGGGAGTATTGCTTGTCTTTGGTTAGTTCCTTTTCCCAAGCCCTTCAGAAGCTATTTTGAAACTTTATTACTCTCCTCAAATCTCCTTTCCAACTTCCGGGCAACATGGCGCTATAGTCAGAAGCACCACGCCATCCCTCCACAGCAAAGATCAGA